TTTATGCTTATTTTTTACCCAAAATCTTGAGTAAAAAAGGAAACCTTCACTTTATAAAAAGTAGTACCAGTGCCCAGTTATATGATGATATCCTTTATTTTTCCTGAAATTCCAGTGTCAAAGGTTGCTGTTTTTGCACTGACAGAAATGGTTATTTTCTATTCTTTTTATCTTTATTAGCAAGTCAATGCAATGGACGGGGAGCATGATATCCTTCTTTCCCGAGAAGGTCTTGCCCTAGAGGTTGATAAACACAAAAAGGGAACAAACGAAGCAGTGCGTCTGTGGGATGAAATTACCGAGAGTCTGAGAGGGTGCCAAACCGTGAGATTTAAATCTAATTTATCTCAGCGAGCAGTCAGGGAGAGATTTAACCTGATCCAGGGCAGATTCAAAGAAAATGAAAAAACAGAATTAGCTGGATCTGGAATTTCTGTACCAGAACATGATGAGCTTGATGTACTTCTTGAGGACATAACAGAAAGAGAAAGAGATGCTATTGCTGAAGCTAGTGAAAAGAAAGGTCAGGAGAAGGCTACAGCAGAAGATATCAGAAACCAATCTTTGGAGCGGATGGGGCAAACAAAGAAACGGAAATCTGAAGACGGTTAGGAGCCAAAGGAAAGGAAATCCAGGAGAAGCAGTAATGAGGCCCAGTTTATTGTTGTGAAGTATTTTGTAGGTTATTTTAAGTTTATTTCGTGTTTGTGCTTGACGTTTCACTCGTGACTAGAGTCTTGTTATGATCAGTTTATAGATCAAGGTTAATCCGTATATGTGTTAACAGGTTTTTGAGTGTTATTATCTTTTTAATGGGTTTGTCGACCAAAGTGTCACCAAGTTTGGGGTTTAATTAAGTTTGATTGTCAGTTTTTAAGTGGGTACCTTTTGGAACCATTACTGACCTTGATCGTTACCTACATCAGAGTTCCTGTTTTGGTTTAAGGTAGTCTCGTGGGTTTAGCTGTCACGCTTTCATTGGTTTTATTATGGGTTTGTCTATTCCACTTTGGTTATCAACAGGAAATTCGTTTAAGTCACTCGGAAAAGCGTTTGTAACTCTCATGGTCAGGCAAGCCTAGACGTACCAACGTTTTACTTATATAAGTTGCCAGTGTTTAGCACAAGGAGAGAGAAGAGAAAAAGTAGTTGAGATTAGTTACATATGAGCTGCTGTAAAGATTAAAAAACAACAAAATGTAAACTCAGATACCTCGTAAACCCCCCCTACATTATGCAGGAGAAGGCTGAATCAGACAAGGCATTCCGATAAGAAGAGCTAAAGATAAGGAAAAAAGAAGAAGAAACCAAAGGTGCTCAATTCCAAGCAATGTTCCCCCAGCAGCAATCCTTCTTGCAAGCAATGACCCAACACCAGGCTCAACAGCAGCAACAGAATCAACACATGCAGATATTAATGGCACAGCAAAGTCAGGCAATGATGTCTGTTTTGGAAAAACTCTTGTTAAAAGAGTGAATCAAAAGAGTCAAACATCAGTTTCATTCCAGTTTAGTTTTACAGCAATAAGTGTTAGATTAATAGGGATGTGAAATCATTCCAAGTAATGTAGCAAAGTTGTCTTTTGCAGGGTCAGCTACTGTATTTTAAAGGTAATTCATTTTGGATTTGCATGGAAGGTCATCAGTGTGCGTCTATTTTATATTTGTTTTTAACTTTGTTTTTAAAAAAGGTTAAAACAACCAATGTTGGTGAAAAAAAATTCCACCCATAAGACATAAAACATATAAACAAATATGGCTCTTGTTTTCATAACTAACCTCGAATTTAAGCAAAAACTACTTTCGTGTTTTTGCATGAATTCAAGGCCAGAAAGGTGAAAACAAAGGCTTTTCTCATTGGCTATCACATTTTTCAAGTTCATATCTTTATTTGCAAAAGGCTGGTTCTTTACTGACAGTCTCAAAAGCAATACAATTTTAACAGGAGTCATATGTGAGATCAACTCTACAGTATTTTTTATAAGACTGAATCATTACATGACATACAGTTTCTAAGTGCAAGTGTGATATGCCTTTAAGATATATTACGTTTTTTAGCAAATGACTCATTCTGAGTGAAGCCGAAAGATGGACGAGTCGGACAAACACACGTCGCAAGCATCGTAAGTTTGAAGTTGTTTTTATTCACTCTTGCTCACTTCTAGTCTCTAAAACACTAAAGTCTAGCGAAATTTCATGCAGCTTAATGTAGAACGAGTAACATCTGGAATATCAATGGTTTGGATTTCGATTAGCTGGGTGAAATCACTTGACTTGGTTGTTGAGTTTGCCCTTTTTCGGAACTTTGTTTTGATGATAAGCAGTATCTCTCTCGTGAAATTTATCCCCGAATAATGACAAAAGCTTTGTTAGAGCGTATTAGCATTCATAAAACATCTTTTTGAGGGCTTAAATAAGACAAACCAATTTTATACTTAGGCATCTACGTCTTCTAGTGGAACGTGTTGAAATTACAAATACACTCTTAATCAAATCTAGGCCGGCCAGTATATACAAGTTATGGAAATTCTAGAATGTCTTGAAGTCGTGAGAGTAGTTTTTCTCCGGATCTGAAAAATATAATAGTAAAACTAAACCAAAAATTGTACGCATATTTAATGACAATGTATCAGGCTGAATTTCGAGCCCAGCAGTTTTCATTTAATCTGTTAACTCAGGAGAGACATCCCACTTCTGCATGTAAGCAGAGGAACACTTTATGCTTATTTTTTACCCAAAATCTTGAGTAAAAAAGGAAACCTTCACTTTATAAAAAGTAGTACCAGTGCCCAGTTATATGATGATATCCTTTATTTTTCCTGAAATTCCAGTGTCAAAGGTTGCTGTTTTTGCACTGACAGAAATGGTTATTTTCTATTCTTTTTATCTTTATTAGCAAGTCAATGCAATGGACGGGGAGCATGATATCCTTCTTTCCCGAGAAGGTCTTGCCCTAGAGGTTGATAAACACAAAAAGGGAACAAACGAAGCAGTGCGTCTGTGGGATGAAATTACCGAGAGTCTGAGAGGGTGCCAAACCGTGAGATTTAAATCTAATTTATCTCAGCGAGCAGTCAGGGAGAGATTTAACCTGATCCAGGGCAGATTCAAAGAAAATGAAAAAACAGAATTAGCTGGATCTGGAATTTCTGTACCAGAACATGATGAGCTTGATGTACTTCTTGAGGACATAACAGAAAGAGAAAGAGATGCTATTGCTGAAGCTAGTGAAAAGAAAGGTCAGGAGAAGGCTACAGCAGAAGATATCAGAAACCAATCTTTGGAGCGGATGGGGCAAACAAAGAAACGGAAATCTGAAGACGGTTAGGAGCCAAAGGAAGGGAAATCCAGGAGAAGCAGTAATGAGGCCCAGTTTATTGTTGTGAAGTATTTTGTAGGTTATTTTAAGTTTATTTCGTGTTTGTGCTTGACGTTTCACTCGTGACTAGAGTCTTGTTATGATCAGTTTATAGATCAAGGTTAATCCGTATATGTGTTAACAGGTTTTTGAGTGTTATTATCTTTTTAATGGGTTTGTCGACCAAAGTGTCACCAAGTTTGGGGTTTAATTAAGTTTGATTGTCAGTTTTTAAGTGGGTACCTTTTGGAACCATTACTGACCTTGATCGTTACCTACATCAGAGTTCCTGTTTTGGTTTAAGGTAGTCTCGTGGGTTTAGCTGTCACGCTTTCATTGGTTTTATTATGGGTTTGTCTATTCCACTTTGGTTATCAACAGGAAATTCGTTTAAGTCACTCGGAAAAGCGTTTGTAACTCTCATGGTCAGGCAAGCCTAGACGTACCAACGTTTTACTTATATAAGTTGCCAGTGTTTAGCACAAGGAGAGAGAAGAGAAAAAGTAGTTGAGATTAGTTACATATGAGCTGCTGTAAAGATTAAAAAACAACAAAATGTAAACTCAGATACCTCGTAAACCCCCCCTACATTATGCAGGAGAAGGCTGAATCAGACAAGGCATTCCGATAAGAAGAGCTAAAGATAAGGAAAAAAGAAGAAGAAACCAAAGGTGCTCAATTCCAAGCAATGTTCCCCCAGCAGCAATCCTTCTTGCAAGCAATGACCCAACACCAGGCTCAACAGCAGCAACAGAATCAACACATGCAGATATTAATGGCACAGCAAAGTCAGGCAATGATGTCTGTTTTGGAAAAACTCTTGTTAAAAGAGTGAATCAAAAGAGTCAAACATCAGTTTCATTCCAGTTTAGTTTTACAGCAATAAGTGTTAGATTAATAGGGATGTGAAATCATTCCAAGTAATGTAGCAAAGTTGTCTTTTGCAGGGTCAGCTACTGTATTTTAAAGGTAATTCATTTTGGATTTGCATGGAAGGTCATCAGTGTGCGTCTATTTTATATTTGTTTTTAACTTTGTTTTTAAAAAAGGTTAAAACAACCAATGTTGGTGAAAAAAAATTCCACCCATAAGACATAAAACATATAAACAAATATGGCTCTTGTTTTCATAACTAACCTCGAATTTAAGCAAAAACTACTTTCGTGTTTTTGCATGAATTCAAGGCCAGAAAGGTGAAAACAAAGGCTTTTCTCATTGGCTATCACATTTTTCAAGTTCATATCTTTATTTGCAAAAGGCTGGTTCTTTACTGACAGTCTCAAAAGCAATACAATTTTAACAGGAGTCATATGTGAGATCAACTCTACAGTATTTTTTATAAGACTGAATCATTACATGACATACAGTTTCTAAGTGCAAGTGTGATATGCCTTTACAGAATCTAGTGTCGTAAAAATAATCAAAGTCTTGAGGTATACATAGTATGTTGAGGTTTGTCACCCTTGAGAACTGATGCTGTGACCCCAACATGTTTCCAACAGTTCTCATTAAATCCAGCAAAACTTCTGAGAATGTGTAAGTGCTCTTGGTTTCATTGCTGTGTTGCTAATTTACACCATAAAACCATAATGCTTGAATTATTAAAGATGATTTTCAAAACAGTTAGCCTAAACTGTAGCACTTATGCCAAATAAATTTCAAGGTCGGGAGGATTACACTGGAAAACATCTGAGGTTGTGTTTCCATACAGACATGTTAGCCCATTTCTAAGAATAGCACTGACGATGTACATTTTCCCCACACTACTCAGTCCTAACTTTAAGTTCTTTTTAAAGTCCAGGAACTTGAAGTAATTGATTATGTCTCTGAAGAGCCACTCCACACTTGTTCTCACTGAGCTCATAGCAGTATTGTAAGCTTCCATCTGTGGGGTTAAAACTCCATTTCTAAATGGACATTGAAGGTGAACACGGATGGGGTAAGCAGGATCCCCGTAAATACAAAGTGGTTGTCTAGCCAGGTTGAAGGCATACTGACGGAGATCATCCAAAAGGTGAGACTCAGCAAGCATACCTGCATCATGCTTTCGTCCCTCTGCAACAAACTTCGTGGACAGGAGGAGTGTTAAAGTTCAGTCAGATAAGTGAAAAAGTCCTATAACATTTTGTTAAAAGAACATTGAAGCATCAAGGGTCTCACAGGAATATTTCATTCATTTTTCTTGTAACTATGACAATTCAGGAAAAAATGAAAGTATTTATTTGTTCATTGATATATTTATTACGAACTGAAAATATTTTGTATATAAAAAAATTATTTTCTTTAGACATAGTCAGCTTGGCTATGAGGTAATGAGAGTGAAGTAAATTTCTCATGAAAAAGCAGTTGTATGTTTCCAAGAAGTTTCATTTCAAGCGATTTCTCAAGATGAAAAGAAAAAAAAAATACACTCAAGCAGTTGCCTCCTCACCCTTCAAACCCACGATTCCATTTTCTAAAGAAAAGACAACTTACCGACAGGGCCATACATACTTGCAATCATTCCCTCTGGGGTAACAACAGACTGAAACTTGATTCCATGGACACGTTTGTGTCCATTGTAAAGCAACCTCTGGTTGACAGTGCCGGGCCTATAAATAGCGCGAACTGTCCCATCAACAAAAGCAAAACATTATTAAGTAGGGCTCCTTTTCGGTGAACAACTTCGGCAAATCTTTCAAGATTGGCTTGGCTTAGTTGCTGATGATTCTACTGCAGAATGCGGTGGCCGTGAGCTTGATAGATATAATCCAAAACTTGATTTGTAATCATACACAATACAGGAACCGGCTTAGCGAACAAGTGGACCATATCGCTGTATTGGCAAGGGTAGCACAACCGCTTCAAAAGCATGCATAGTCCTTCAGTTCCTTCGCAAATTGTCCCTTGGTGACAAATTATAACATCAGGAATCCGCAAAGCCTGAGAAAGCCTTGGGATATCAGTTTTCCTGAACCGAAATTCGGCCAAACATTCATCTTCAGTCAGGTTTTGGAGGTCGAAACGTGGATACAAGTCACACGGCAAGTCCAGGTTTTGTAGGCTGTAAAGAGGGGGACATTGGGGGGAACCCAATACCGCAATACCATAAGAAAAAATGGCAAATACCGAAATACCGGGTCGAAAATCGTCGAAATACCAATACCGCATATTTTAATCACATTTATAGTCGGTTCCCCATACTTATGGTTGTTACCATGTAGCGCGTTTAATTATCCCAGGCATTTACGCACCAGATTTCCATGATTTTGTAATATTTTGCTAGTTCGCAAATTTTCACTGAAAAGTAAACTACATTCGTTCAACCTTTTGGTAGATCGACCCAACAGCTAATTAATTAACTCCACTGAAAATAACTCTTGAAAGCGCGAAAAACAAACCAACCAAAACCCTTTTTAAGCACGTCTAGAGCGAGTTTTGATAAGTGGGTCTAGTCTAGCACGCCAGTCTCTCACAAGGTTAACTATCTCGACCTTCTCACACGCCGCGCCGGTAAGAGGCAAACTTACCAGATTTTCTCGTTTAACTTTACAAGGTGTTTTTCAATTCTCGAAACCCGACATCTAAACTTATTCTTGTCGCGATAATGTTCGCCTCCTTCGACCTCTTCACAAACGATTGCCACACAGTCAATGATGACCACGCCGTCTTCAACCTCAGCAACCTCGGCCATTGTGAGAAAACGTGTAGGTCCTTGAATTACCGGCACAGGTTCACAGATCGAAAAGCCTGGTAAGGTAACTCGAGACGACTCATTGTTATTGGATGCAACAACAATCATGTTGTATATTATCGACCATTAACTGTCTCAAAATGACCCACAAATGGTGTAATCATTTACTGTTATGTCTCAAGACTTGTAAATATTAACTTTTATTGACCTTTATGTCCTACTGTGTTTTGTTTTGCGCATTGTATGGAAAGGAAAGCGCAAATAAACGGTACCGTAATACCGTGAACAGTCTTATTTCACTGAATACCGTGAGCCAAAATAATGAAAAACCGCATACCGCAGAGCTACAATCTTCGACAAAACTGTTGAGAAAATGTCACATTCTCAGACCATTTTTCCTAACATTCTCGCAATATCGCGTCCTCCCTTCCCCCCCCCCCTTGGAAGCAATGTTGTTGTGTGTTCTAAAGCAACCCTGATCCTTAGACATTTGTAGGAAACAACATTGACCTGGGGGAAGGGGAATTTGGTACCGCAAATCAGTTGTTGTTGAAATAGTGTTGTTGCGTTGGATAGTGTGCATGGAGGGGTAAAAATTCTCAAGTAGTTTTGTCCGGGATTGTGTTTCACTGAAGTTGTGGATTTGACGCATGTAGCGTGGTTATATAAGCCTCTCCTTTATATATTAGGTACATTTTACAGTTAATTAGATAATTGATGAGAAATTAGTGACTGCACAGAAGTTAATCACTAAAAAAGTCTTTTGTACGTTGCATTGTATTCAAATCGTCAGTCGTGAACGCTCTTGAATTTTTTTCGCTGACCATGGTTTTCACGCGCGCTTTAAGCGCTGAGGAACGGGCATACATTGCATATTTAGTACATGATAAGAATGTCTCCGTTTAGGATATTAGCAGCAAAAGAGGAGTTTCAGCGGCTGCCATCTATAGGTTGAAGCAAACAAAGATAGGAGGGCGGAAACATTGTACACGAACGCCTGTAAAACATCCAGGTGGGCGCCTGAAAAAACTGACTATGCGAGATGAAAGACATCTACTGCGGTGTATTCCTGTTTTAAGGGAAGAGGAAGGAAATTTTTGCGCGAAAAGGTTAATGCAGAGAGCCGGGTTGAGTAAGAAGAAGGTAAGCGATCGAACTGTACGGCGATGTTTGAATGAAAACGGCTATTACTATCTACAAGCACGCAAAAAGAGCCTGATGACTAAAAACGATCAAAGGAAACGCAGGATATTCGCAAAACAAGTACAGGGCAACTATTCTGCGGATGTGTGGATTTCCAAAGTGGCTTTTTACCTCGATGGTGTAAGTCTGTTTTATAAACGCAATCCCGCAGATCAAGCGAGAGCACCTAAGGGGCGTATATGGCGAAAGAAGTGCGAAGGACTGAGCCTGGGTTGTACCGCGAAAGGATTTTAACAGGAGTCATATGTGAGATCAACTCTACAGTATTTTTTATAAGACTGAATCATTACATGACATACAGTTTCTAAGTGCAAGTGTGATATGCCTTTACAGAATCTAGTGTCGTAAAAATAATCAAAGTCTTGAGGTATACATAGTATGTTGAGGTTTGTCACCCTTGAGAACTGATGCTGTGACCCCAACATGTTTCCAACAGTTCTCATTAAATCCAGCAAAACTTCTGAGAATGTGTAAGTGCTCTTGGTTTCATTGCTGTGTTGCTAATTTACACCATAAAACCATAATGCTTGAATTATTAAAGATGATTTTCAAAACAGTTAGCCTAAACTGTAGCACTTATGCCAAATAAATTTCAAGGTCGGGAGGATTACACTGGAAAACATCTGAGGTTGTGTTTCCATACAGACATGTTAGCCCATTTCTAAGAATAGCACTGACGATGTACATTTTCCCCACACTACTCAGTCCTAACTTTAAGTTCTTTTTAAAGTCCAGGAACTTGAAGTAATTGATTATGTCTCTGAAGAGCCACTCCACACTTGTTCTCACTGAGCTCATAGCAGTATTGTAAGCTTCCATCTGTGGGGTTAAAACTCCATTTCTAAATGGACATTGAAGGTGAACACGGATGGGGTAAGCAGGATCCCCGTAAATACAAAGTGGTTGTCTAGCCAGGTTGAAGGCATACTGACGGAGATCATCCAAAAGGTGAGACTCAGCAAGCATACCTGCATCATGCTTTCGTCCCTCTGCAACAAACTTCGTGGACAGGAGGAGTGTTAAAGTTCAGTCAGATAAGTGAAAAAGTCCTATAACATTTTGTTAAAAGAACATTGAAGCATCAAGGGTCTCACAGGAATATTTCATTCATTTTTCTTGTAACTATGACAATTCAGGAAAAAATGAAAGTATTTATTTGTTCATTGATATATTTATTACGAACTGAAAATATTTTGTATATAAAAAAATTATTTTCTTTAGACATAGTCAGCTTGGCTATGAGGTAATGAGAGTGAAGTAAATTTCTCATGAAAAAGCAGTTGTATGTTTCCAAGAAGTTTCATTTCAAGCGATTTCTCAAGATGAAAAGAAAAAAAAAATACACTCAAGCAGTTGCCTCCTCACCCTTCAAACCCACGATTCCATTTTCTAAAGAAAAGACAACTTACCGACAGGGCCATACATACTTGCAATCATTCCCTCTGGGGTAACAACAGACTGAAACTTGATTCCATGGACACGTTTGTGTCCATTGTAAAGCAACCTCTGGTTGACAGTGCCGGGCCTATAAATAGCGCGAACTGTCCCATCAACAAAAGCAAAACATTATTAAGTAGGGCTCCTTTTCGGTGAACAACTTCGGCAAATCTTTCAAGATTGGCTTGGCTTAGTTGCTGATGATTCTACTGCAGAATGCGGTGGCCGTGAGCTTGATAGATATAATCCAAAACTTGATTTGTAATCATACACAATACAGGAACCGGCTTAGCGAACAAGTGGACCATATCGCTGTATTGGCAAGGGTAGCACAACCGCTTCAAAAGCATGCATAGTCCTTCAGTTCCTTCGCAAATTGTCCCTTGGTGACAAATTATAACATCAGGAATCCGCAAAGCCTGAGAAAGCCTTGGGATATCAGTTTTCCTGAACCGAAATTCGGCCAAACATTCATCTTCAGTCAGGTTTTGGAGGTCGAAACGTGGATACAAGTCACACGGCAAGTCCAGGTTTTGTAGGCTGTAAAGAGGGGGACATTGGGGGGAACCCAATACCGCAATACCATAAGAAAAAATGGCAAATACCGAAATACCGGGTCGAAAATCGTCGAAATACCAATACCGCATATTTTAATCACATTTATAGTCGGTTCCCCATACTTATGGTTGTTACCATGTAGCGCGTTTAATTATCCCAGGCATTTACGCACCAGATTTCCATGATTTTGTAATATTTTGCTAGTTCGCAAATTTTCACTGAAAAGTAAACTACATTCGTTCAACCTTTTGGTAGATCGACCCAACAGCTAATTAATTAACTCCACTGAAAATAACTCTTGAAAGCGCGAAAAACAAACCAACCAAAACCCTTTTTAAGCACGTCTAGAGCGAGTTTTGATAAGTGGGTCTAGTCTAGCACGCCAGTCTCTCACAAGGTTAACTATCTCGACCTTCTCACACGCCGCGCCGGTAAGAGGCAAACTTACCAGATTTTCTCGTTTAACTTTACAAGGTGTTTTTCAATTCTCGAAACCCGACATCTAAACTTATTCTTGTCGCGATAATGTTCGCCTCCTTCGACCTCTTCACAAACGATTGCCACACAGTCAATGATGACCACGCCGTCTTCAACCTCAGCAACCTCGGCCATTGTGAGAAAACGTGTAGGTCCTTGAATTACCGGCACAGGTTCACAGATCGAAAAGCCTGGTAAGGTAACTCGAGACGACTCATTGTTATTGGATGCAACAACAATCATGTTGTATATTATCGACCATTAACTGTCTCAAAATGACCCACAAATGGTGTAATCATTTACTGTTATGTCTCAAGACTTGTAAATATTAACTTTTATTGACCTTTATGTCCTACTGTGTTTTGTTTTGCGCATTGTATGGAAAGGAAAGCGCAAATAAACGGTACCGTAATACCGTGAACAGTCTTATTTCACTGAATACCGTGAGCCAAAATAATGAAAAACCGCATACCGCAGAGCTACAATCTTCGACAAAACTGTTGAGAAAATGTCACATTCTCAGACCATTTTTCCTAACATTCTCGCAATATCGCGTCCTCCCTTCCCCCCCCCCCCTTGGAAGCAATGTTGTTGTGTGTTCTAAAGCAACCCTGATCCTTAGACATTTGTAGGAAACAACATTGACCTGGGGGAAGGGGAATTTGGTACCGCAAATCAGTTGTTGTTGAAATAGTGTTGTTGCGTTGGATAGTGTGCATGGAGGGGTAAAAATTCTCAAGTAGTTTTGTCCGGGATTGTGTTTCACTGAAGTTGTGGATTTGACGCATGTAGCGTGGTTATATAAGCCTCTCCTTTATATATTAGGTACATTTTACAGTTAATTAGATAATTGATGAGAAATTAGTGACTGCACAGAAGTTAATCACTAAAAAAGTCTTTTGTACGTTGCATTGTATTCAAATCGTCAGTCGTGAACGCTCTTGAATTTTTTTCGCTGACCATGGTTTTCACGCGCGCTTTAAGCGCTGAGGAACGGGCATACATTGCATATTTAGTACATGATAAGAATGTCTCCGTTTAGGATATTAGCAGCAAAAGAGGAGTTTCAGCGGCTGCCATCTATAGGTTGAAGCAAACAAAGATAGGAGGGCGGAAACATTGTACACGAACGCCTGTAAAACATCCAGGTGGGCGCCTGAAAAAACTGACTATGCGAGATGAAAGACATCTACTGCGGTGTATTCCTGTTTTAAGGGAAGAGGAAGGAAATTTTTGCGCGAAAAGGTTAATGCAGAGAGCCGGGTTGAGTAAGAAGAAGGTAAGCGATCGAACTGTACGGCGATGTTTGAATGAAAACGGCTATTACTATCTACAAGCACGCAAAAAGAGCCTGATGACTAAAAACGATCAAAGGAAACGCAGGATATTCGCAAAACAAGTACAGGGCAACTATTCTGCGGATGTGTGGATTTCCAAAGTGGCTTTTTACCTCGATGGTGTAAGTCTGTTTTATAAACGCAATCCCGCAGATCAAGCGAGAGCACCTAAGGGGCGTATATGGCGAAAGAAGTGCGAAGGACTGAGCCTGGGTTGTACCGCGAAAGGTTCAAAAGATGGGAGTGGCGGAAAGGTACTGAAGTTGATGGTTGCCATAAGCTACGGAAAGGGAGTGCTAATGTGTCATCCGTACGAATACTTCGATGGGCCAACCTTTGCTGCATTTGTAAGGGAGAAGTTTCCTGAGATGTTTCGTAAAGCGGGGAAAAAAGGTCGACGCATTTTTGTACAAGATAATGACCCCGTGCAAAATTCTGGGAGTGTACGCCGAGCTCTGAACGCCTTAAAAACAAAGCAACTGAAGATTCCTCCCCACATTCCGGACGTCAATCCCATTGAAAATTTATTTCATTCCATGAGAGAGAAGCTAAGGCATCAAGCACTGAGACAAAACATAACACATGAAACATTCCATGAATTTTCAGACCGTGTGACAACAACTTTAAAGAATTTTTCTATCGCAGAAATTGATAAGACAATCGAGTCTATGAATAACCGCTTGCAATTGATAAAAGAATCAAATGGACAGAGGATTAAATATTAACTAAACTCGAATGTTTACTTTACAAATTGAAATGTTTACTTTGTAGCATTGTACATTGTAGCGAGTGCAAAAACTATAATGTCACGCGCAACAACGTGACAACATGCACTATCGCGTGACGTGTAACACTGCCACTATTTTCCTGTGCTTCATCTTTACATTAGACCGAAAAAAATTACAACATAGATTCGTTATTTAGAAACAAAGAGATAATAAATGTTGCGACAGTGGCCTCCTAGCCTCTTTCTGTTCAGAAGATCTATGATTTGGAACGATTAACAGGACATTTGAAAGACGCTATGAAAATTGGCAACGATTAACAATGAATAACAACGTCTTCTATAAAGAATTAGAAGGTCATTCACTTATTTCAGTGAAATTGTGTTAACCGTTTCAATGTTCTGTTAATCGTGATATTATTCTATGTATGGTATCATCCTAAAAAGTTAACCGATTTTTACGAACAAAGTTTGTCTAACCCTGAAAGTTTAACCTAGTATTAGATCGGAGAAACATTTCCCACAAGATGAGATCACGCGCTGCGATTCCCGAGGGATTACGTAACTCAACTCAAACAAGTTCCACCGTACTTTCATCATCTCAGTCTCTCGCTGATCTAGCACGCCATTTTTGAGAAAGAGAATTGGATACTTAGTAGTACAAAAAATCGGTGTATCGGACTTCACAGTAATGTCCTTAGAGAAATGGGTCTTCGGGGCGGGTAGATGTACAGTTTGACCCTCTAGTAGAAGCAAGAAATCATGCCATGGGATCAATTGAGGAGACCAGCGGAAGTCGTTGAGGAAAATGCATTCTGCTTTGTCAACCCCAACCCAAGCAAAGGTTCCTGTTGCAGGGTTGCTGAATGTGTCGTAGA